AAGAGCACAAACAGAAATTGTCACGGTTACTCCAGCAATTTGCTCTTCTAGTTTCAGAGCTCACAGCAAAGTTCATTAAGTAAAGGTGTAATTCTGGAATGCCTTCATTCAATCTGTAACACAAATGAAGCCTCGGATGAGTGAAATGTTACATTCACAGATCTCTCAGTGTGGATTCAGCTGTTCTGTGAGCATCTCATGAGGCCCATAAGGAGCCCCAACAGCTCCAGCTGCAAAGGGTTCAATCAGACATAAAAGAGAACGCGGCTGGAAAAGTTCCCTGGAAAAGCAGCGCCGGTGTTCTTACCCTCTGTGGATGTGATGTAGGCTTCTGCTCAGAGGCGCTCGGACAATCTCAGGTAGGCAGAGTTGTTTGGCGGTGTCTCCGTGGACTGCCTCTCCCTCCGCGGGAGCCTCTTTTTAAGCCCGTCTCCGCACCTGTCCACACCCAGAGCCCCTGAGGGGAGATGGAGGAGGAGCTGGCATGTAGCTGATGGGAGCGTCCTCCCTGGTGATGAATGTGGCTTTGACATTCTTTCAAAGAGGTCATCCGGTTCAATGGTGTTCATTGAACTCCACTGGTCACCTCTGGCTGCCCGTATCAAATTCAAGTCCCTGATGCTAGCCTACAAAGTGCTTAAGGGTACGGCTCCCGTCTACCTGAATCCTCTTGCAAAGGCTTATGTCACAACTCGATCACTTTAGTCATCAGTGGACTGTGGTCTAGCAGAGCCTCCACCAAGCTTAAGACCATCCAGACTGTTTGCATGTGTCGTTCCAAGATGGTGGAACGACTGTCCCAGCGCAAAGGGACAGTTTAAATAACACATTTGAAACAAATGGCATAAAAAAGGTACATATTATAAATTTGGGTGTTTTTAGGTGTCCGTATCTTTAAGTGACTGTAAAAATATTTGTAGTGAAAATGAAATTAAATGAAATGCATAAATAACATTCATATTCTTATTGCTGATGTTCATGGTGGGTTAATTCGAGTTTTGATATTTCTTATGAAGTCTTTCACACCCTAACCCAGGGTTTTTGTGTACTTGATGACCTTTAAGAGTCATTAAACTCTGAGACCGGGGCAGACTCCTGACTGATGGACTTGACCAACAGCATTCTGATGATGTGTCAGTGTACAGCGCTCAGCTTTGAGTGTAATTAAATGCATTTTTTAGCATTCCTATGAAGCCTTTCATGTTGACCACGTAGCAAATTGTTAAAGGCAAAAACACAAAACACCCTGAGGACAGTAAAGACAAAGTACTGATGTTTTATGGTGACAGAAGTTGAAGTGCAGCATTCTGACTTCACTGAAGACGTGTCATAATCTGGGGGATGCAGGGCCCTGCACCCTCCACCAGGGGGCCTTTCCCACCTGAAGCAGCCCCCACACGTGGCTGCCTGGTGGGATCACACAGAGCAGCTGCAGGTCGCTGTGGTCAGCAGCCGTGTGGACACAGGTCACACACTGGACAGAAACGCTGAAGCGGCTATCTTGTTTTGGGGCTCTTCAGCCTTTTGCCCTCAGCTTCTTCCTCTGGGGTTCTTGGGCTGCCTCCCACACGTTGTCCTCAGTCTGCAGATTTGGCCCTGTGTTTGCTCTTTGCTTTGAGCCTTGAAGGTCCCGCAGGAACTTTCTGAGCAGGTGGAGGTCTTCAATTTGGAACCATGAAGCAATGCTGGACAGTCAGACTCAGTATGATGAAACTCACCTTTTCTCCCCTCATAAAGCAGGTTTTTAGAGTCATGAAATGCATGAAATGTTAAAAAATAACATTATTATTCTGTGGCAGTTCAGCCATCGTGGTGCCTCAACAGATTCTCCAAGACGGGTTTTGTTGTAAGACTTTTATTTCCTGCGCGGACATACACATGCAGACTCACACATTCAAACACACACGCACATACACATGCACACACACACGCAGTGTTAAGGTAAGTTATGCTCAGGTATTCTGTAATGCAGGGGTTCAGTGGCTGGATACTGGTCAGTGGTCCTTCCTCCCAGTGGTCCAGCACGCGACCGGGGAGAGTGATTAGCCATCTGATTCCAGGTGTGCTAATCACCTCTCCTGGCACACCTCCCCTCCTGCAGCTGAGCACCACGCCCCCCCCACATATTCTTACTACTGATAGTAAAGCAGATTTTTACAGTGTTATAAAATGCATTAAATGTACAAATAAAATCATTTTTCTTAATGCTGATAGTCATGGTG